ACGTCTTGATGACGAACAACGGCATCTGCTGGATATAGATATGTATTTGGGATTTCGTTTTTTTTGTGAAGGCAAGAGTGTTTTGATATCCTGGTTGGTCTTGTCACGTTGTTTGTTGTTTGGCCTTTGGGGCTTGTCATCCAGGATGTTGTTGCCCCCTGTTCTGTTTTGTTTGGGCTGTTTCCTTCCTTTTTGCTTTGCCGCTTTGCCTTTTGGCTGTGTGCAAGTGGGTCGATATGACACCAGGGGGTGGGGGCAGCCGCCGCTCAACCACATCCACGTGCACTGGGCGACCTTGTACGCAAGAGGTTCTGAACAGGGGGAGTTGTAAGTAAGAAGATAAAAAATGAATTGATATCTTTTTTTTTTTTGCTTCGTTTTGTTTTTTTTTCGCTTTTGCACTCTGATAACTTTGTGACGATATATATACGTAGATTATGGTAGATATATGTGTGCGTGTATATAGGTTCTGAACAGGGAGTTGTAACTAAGAAGGTTTTTTTTTTTGCTTCTGCGCTCTGGTATCTCTGTGACGATGTATATGTGTATATAACAGTTTGTCACGGCCCCTAGTTTGTCACGGCCCCTTGTTTCTTGTCCTCTTCTCCCTCTCTCCCTCTGCCAACGGTTTACCGGGCAGTTCTGTTTGTGACGATATATATAGAATATATATTTTTACATTTGTTCTTGTCATTCCTCCTGTTCTTGTTTCTTTTCCTTTACTTTTTCCCCCGTTGCTGGGGTATTCCGTTTTGCGGGCCTACTGTATGGTTCCGTTTTTTGACCATGGATATGGTAGATTTGTTGTGGTATTTAAGAAAACATTAGAGAAAGGACAAGGGAAGGAAGGCGTATTAGTCAATCAAACTAATTGACACATTCCCTTTTTTTTGTAATTTTCCCCGCTGTTGGGGTATTTTGTTTTGTTGTGGTAATCTTGTCTGCATCCCGGTTGGTTTTGTCCTGTTATTCGGTCTATTCAGTCAGCAGGTAGCGGTGCTTTATGTTGGACTAGTCATCTGGGCTTTTTTATTGTTTTGGCATCCTGGTTGGTTGTTTCCCGTCGTTCGGCCTTTTGGAACGCGGGCCGGTGCATGCATGTGGGAATCGTCATCCGGGATTGTTTTTTATACCGGTCCTCCGGGTTCTTTTTGATTTTTTTGCAGACAAGAGTGGTTGACATCCTGGTAAGTCTTGTCCCGTCGTTTGGCCTGTGGGCAGGGGCGGTGCTTGCATGTGGGACTTGTCATCTGGGATTCTGGGATCTGTTTTGTTGCCCACTGTTCTGTATTATTTGGCTGTTCCCTTCCTCTTTTCTTTGCCTCTTTGCCTTTTGGCTGTGTGCAAGTGGGTCGATATGACACACGGGGGTGGGGGCAGCCGACGCTCAACCTACATCCACGTGGGCGGCCTTGTACGCAAGAGGTTCTGAACAGGGGGAGTCTTGTGAGGAAGAAGATTGTTTTCCTTGTTTTCTTTCTGTTTTTTGCTTTGGCGCTCTGATATCGTGTGACAAGCCGGGGTTAAGGTGGATTATCACTTACGGTGTAATCAGTTAGGGGATTCCGCAGACTGTTGAGGGTTCAGCCCCCTGATGAGTCGGTGAAACTCCGACGAAACAGTTTGCCACAGCCCCTTGTTTGTTGTCCTCTTCTCCCTCCCTCTCTGCCCCTACGCTTTACCGGCCAGCTCTGTTTGACTATATATACTTTTGTAGATGATGCGGCTAGGGTCGGGCCTGTACTAGCAGGCTCTTCTTTGGCTATGGTAGAAAATAATCCTTGTCGTATTGTCCCTGTCTCTTATACACATCTAGATGTGTATAAGAGACAGGGACTGTGTATGTGAAATGAAGGAAGCCAAATACCAAAAAAAGGCCCACTTGAACTTTGA